CTTTTCTATCATTGAGTAGACTGACTCTGACTCGGTGACATATTTTATGCATATTTAGGGCCAGAGCTGTAATAGGTAAATGCTCTATTGTAATTGAATATTATTATATATAGTCCTAATGATAAATCGCATCATTTTTGGCAGCCACAACGTGCACCGAATGAAATTAAATTCAGCGGTACCGAAACTTTTTGTATTTTTAGGGTTAAATGGCCCCGAAACTGCAGCCCCCCGAAACTGCAGCCCCTTGGGTCAAGTTTCACCGATGTGTTTGAAAATGGGTACGCACATATATCATGTCCAGATGAACAAAAAACCTTCAAGGACCCATCCCCCAAACCCAACAGGAAGTCAGCCATTTTGCATTTTAGCGGCCTTTTTGGCTGATTTGCACACGTTGTACTTTAACAAAGTCAAATTCAGTCACAGTCATAGCACCACCTAATGGGAACAGGAAATATGGCTTATATATTATATATTATAATGTCATAGGATATTTTTTTTTGAAAAATAGCAATTTCGATGAATTTTGAGCAGATTATTTCCTTTTTTAGGGAACTTTTTGAACAATTCTCTATCTCTATCATGATTTTTTAAAAGAACAATACTAACTTAATAGGATTCAGTTTTTGACAAAATAAAATCCTTTATTTTCCCTGTGAAGCTCGGTTGTTTGATTGTGAACGGCCTGCTGAGTATATATTATATATGTAACATTTTCTTGAACACCTTAAAATCAAGAAGGACTGGTGCCCCCCTGTGAAGCTTTGGTGACCCCTAGTGGGCGTCCCAACAATAACAACAATACAGCTGCATGTGAATAGTTACGCCAGTGATGCTATTCAGCATGACACAATGTGGGTCACCTTGCAAACAGGTGTGTGAACTTTTGAGGGTTTAAAGCTAGAAAATATGGGACTTGTCCTGTTTGTGAATCTGTCAACTACATTCATGTCTTTTCCCATTTGTTCCGTAACTTACGTAATGTAGAAAAACGTAATGTACAGTGTACAGTATGCATGCAATGTGGCAATAGACCTGAAAACAAGTAGGTCATATTACATATAGTTGCTGGTCTAAATTTTAAATTAAAACTCTTTACTCCATTCTTCACTCAACTGTAAATCAGAAAAAGGTTACGTTTGACTAACTGCTACAAATATGTTGTTGATTCTTATTTAAAGAGTAAATTAACACTGAAAACATGATAAAGGAAGTGTTAAACCAGTTCAACAAGAAACGTACAGAAACCCTGTAGAGATGTTAAGACATTTCCTTTAAATCCAGAACTCTGAGTTAAGTTTGTAGTTTTTATTTTTTTGCACAGGTTTCAGTTACATTATAGAGAAATGCTACGCATTTTTAGCCACGTTAGCAGCATGGTTCCATAGATGGACCAATGCTGGTTGATCCACCACTTTGGTCTAAAAATCTTTTATATCTGGTTCATGTCAAGCACATTATTACATTACCTGTCAAAGCAATTTATGATTAATTGATTATTAAAATAGCTAATTCATTTTACGTGTTTGTTTAAGTGAGTGACATAAAAACTTTACACTTTGGTGGATCATTAAAAATCATTTAGATTTGGCTTTCTATGATTAATAAACCGAAGAAAAATTGAAAAATGCTAAATATATACAGCATTATAGCACTTTTTGTAATTATTTAAGTCAACTTAAAGAAAATGAATCAATGGAACAAACTGGAATTAAATTGCATGAACTTAAAATACTGAACACATTCAAGTTCACTCAACTACAAACAACTGAGTTGCTTCAACAATTGAATAACTTTGAAGCAGGGGGTCCCACTGTCTTTTTCTAGTATGTCTAACCAGATTTATATACGTTTATTCACAGGTAATAGAGATAGTTATATCCTGTGTAAGTATAAGAATCTACACAGTGAGTCTAGAATAAATATAAGTTAATTTAACTAAATAAAATGTTCAAACTGAACTCAAACCAACTCAATTTTGTGAGTTGAAAACAGATTCAGCTTTTACTAATAATTTTAAGTGACATTAACTTCATTTTGTTACAGAAACATTCCTGATTAAGTACTTTTTTACGAGGTATTTTCACAGTACAAATAAAAACAGACAAAATTAAGTCAGTGTCACTTAAAATTACTGAAGCTACACCACGAAAATGAGTTGGTTTTACTTAACATTTTGGATGAAATCCATTTCAACAATTCCTTCGAGTTAAAAAAACTCAATCTCACAAATGTAGAGAACAGTGTGTCTTCACTTCCCTCCATGCTACAACTGCACACTAAGCAAAAGTAGAGCCACCGTGACCCTTTTTACAATGAAAAACAAGCATCTGGACTAGTAAAACCCCCCTTTTTTTTGGTGTTAGCCCAGCGTCTACTCATCTGCTTGTTGACAACAAAAGTAAAGGATGACTCATGTGACCATATGACTTATTTCCACCGCTCGCTGACTTTGTTCTCTGCACCATTACGCTCACAAAAGAGCATTTTTAGCTTTTAATAAGAGGTTTACGCACCGCATCCCAAAACCCTCTCTGTGAGGTTGTCAGTGTTGGACTCTTCTTTTTTTTTGGGGGGGGGGAGTTCCTCCTCGTGCTTCAGATCTACGTTTCATGAGCTGGAAATTATATGATTGCTTTTTGACATTTTGAGCAAAAGTTTTAGGAGTTTTTTCCCGTCCTATATTATTCACGGTTGTGTGGTTTTCTAGACTGACCGTTAAATGCTGCATATGTCAAAATATTTGCTGTTTGACGTCTTAAAACTGCGACAATCGAAATTGATTCAACGCTCATGATTAGCGCCGGCCTAGTGTGAGATCAGTTTTCTTCTTTTAGTCGTGGTTGACAACGTTTTGAGCAAACATAGACTAATTTAATGCTTTTTTTGTTGTTGTTTTTGTTGGGTGTTGTCGTATAAAATACAGTATTTGTTGGAATTTCTTTTTGGTGTTGTAAAATTAAATTAAAGGTGTTTTATTTTTAAAAACATGGCTGTTTCTGTGTGAAGATGCCCTGAAGTGGAAGATGACCTAGGCTCAAAAAGGAAATAAATAATGGGAATAAAAGCCAAACTCTGATACCAAATCCGAGTATATAAGTCATTTTACAACCTATTTAATCTTTAGATTCAATTAAAATTGCTGTTCTGAGTTACTCCTCAGTTAGGTGACTTTTTTTGTTTCTCAGAATGTAAACAAGCTCCTAGAATTGTGATTAGTTTCTGTGAAGACACAAGTATGCCTTCAGCTCTGATTTTATGAATGCTGTTGTTCAAGTCTGAGTATAAATGCCCCAAATACTTGACGCCTTTTTCTATAAGAATATAATAAGATAATGCAGTTATCTCATATCCCAAAGGCAAAGGGTGGAGCATTGCTGTAGAGTATAATTTTAAGGTACTTGGGTATTGCTGTATTACTTTTACTACATTTCAGAAGGAAATATTGATGGATTTTTACTTCACTACAACAATAAAACGTGATTAGTTTATAAAATATGAAGCTTATACAAAAAGCAAAAGATTATACAACCCAACTGTACATTAAAGGTCCAGTGTGTTGGATTTAGTGGCATCTAGTGGTGTAGTTGATGGCAGCTTCCTCACTTCAACCCTGCTTCCCTATCTAGAGCCAGTGTTTTGGTTTGTCTGTTCTGGGCTGCCATAGAAAGATGGTGGTTCAAATGGCGGACTCCATGGAAGGCGACCCGTGGCATCTGTAGCTATAAACAATTCTTATTTTTGGGCGATTATACAAGAATAAAAGCAAATATTTCTGCCAATAGATCCTCCTAAATGTTACACAGCTTTCAAAATGAGCCCCAACATTAAAGTGAAGCTGACATTAGTGTTTGGCGACAGTTAGCTTCTTTTAGCAACAGGTACATCTGGATCATTGACAGTTAATATTATGTCAGTATATATAATGGACAGAGCTTCTGGGTCTGAAAAGTGAAGCTAACACAGAAGTGTCTTAAACCTGCATTCTATGTAAAGGCCAGCAGGAGGAGCGCCACTGGTTGCAATAACACAGCGATCCCATTCACTCTAATGGAGAAATTAGTCACTGTCATGGCGCTGAACTCAAGGTTTCAAAACGGTACTCGTAAATCAGCTCGGTACTACTGTCGTCAAACTGTCCTCTGTCTGTCTCGGAGGTTGTGTTCAAGAGGGAAAACCAGACAATATTCTCTTCATAAAATATGAACCAGTTTCACCCAAAATCCCTGATAAAAGTTTTGTTTTTGTGCAGTAATCGGTGAGCTCCAGCCCACTCTTAACTAGTGAATTTAAGTGCTCTGTGGCTAAAAGTTGAAGATTGATTGACAAGTGAATGTCATGATATTATTGGTTGAAATCGGTTAGTTTATACTTCCATAAGAACACAAAAACTGTTGCAATTTTTTTTTATTTTTTTTTACAA